ACCAGGCTCACGTCTCCTCACTGGGAAAATGGAGAAAGGTCTCTGAGGAGGGTCCTGTGTGCTCTCCCAGCAATTCCTTTGCACTGCCCAAGAGCCAAGCCTGCTGCACTTCCTGTCCATTTAATTAAGATTACAGAGTCAAATATTTTCTAACCCTCACTACAGTGGAGCGTGTTCTGAAACAGAAACCCTGAATGAAGCTGGTTCTTTCTAGGTCTTTGCTGAGGGTTACCTTCTCAAGTGGACCCTGACTGCTCTGCTACCTTGAAGCAGAAGGCCCCAGAAGCGCTGCCCTGCCACAGCACTGAGCTGCTTACCTGGCCTTAATTTATTTCCTCAACACTATCGCCACCTAAACTATTATGTCTATTTGATTACATACTACCCATCTCCTCCCAGAGATGCTGTGGCTGCTCACTGTATTAGCCTTAGATATGATGGACAGTTAGGGCATTTGTGTAGCCTTAGGTGCGATGTACAGACCTCAGCCTCATACTGGTTGCTGGGTGCATTGCAGTGTGATAGTGTGACACAAACACGTGGCTCTCGTCTAAGGTCAGGGTGACAGCAGGAGCCACTGCGGCTGTCTGGGCCGTTCCTCCTTGTTAAGCTTGAAGCTCTGCTTGGGCACCAGGACCTGGGGCTCCCCTGAAGATGACTCCAAGCTCTAGCCAAAGACAGGTGAGGCCGTTCCACCCAAAACAGAAGAGAAGGGACAAATTGCTCCAAATTCTGCATTGTTTTCTCTTGCCATTTCCTTCTCCAATTTTGGGGGGGTGGGGGGGGGAGCTGTAACTATATGTGCTTCTAATTTCTGGGCTCTGGTCCCAGTCCATGGCCAGGAAAATTTCATGAGTCCTGAAAAGAAGACAACCTCCCCCTACACTCCACCTGGCTTCCAAATACTGGTTCTTCCCTTTCACAGTTAACTCTTCTTTAACATCCATCAAGGAAAGCTGCCTAACTCTCACTGCGTGCAAGGACTGACAGCAACGTTGCTCACTTTCTCCTGTTCTTAGTGTATCTGGGAAACTGACAATTTTCAATCTTGATTCTATATTCTGGGTGCTCTGGCACATGGCTGGACCATCAGCAAAACTCTAGTGATGTAGACACAGCCTGTGGCCAGACTCGACACCATCCGTCAGCAAGAGGCTGAGCAAATTAAAACGCCAGGAACACCCTGTTCCTGTGACTACCCCTCTCCTGATGGTCTCACTAATGCCCCGGCAACAGCGTGCACACACCCTGTAAATGCCCTCAGCTGTGGCTCTCACAGCAGGCTGATCCTGCAGGCTCGTGAGCAGTAACTCCCCTCTGTGTGTCCACAGTTCTCTGCCATTAGAACTTAAGCACCTGAGGGGCACAGGCCTGTCTGTCATGTTCATATATCTTGTACATAGCGGATACAACAAATGTTTGTCTAGAGAATAAAGTACTTATTTATATTTCTAGTCTAGTCACTGATTTCTCTTGAGCACTAAGAAGTCCAAGAAGATAAATGAAAATGCCTTGGAGGCCCTATTCAGGATTTGGAAGGACAGCGTCACTCCTGCTCATCTTCGATCTGTTCTTTCCATGCTGGGAAAGTGAGTTGAGGAAGAAAGCCCTCTCCACCAAATGGGAGAGAGCCATGTGAGCCTCTGCCAACGAGTGGTACGTGGTTTTCATTTGGCCTTTTTGACAGAGTTGTTCTGGTTTAAAATGTTTGTATTAGCTCATCAGCACCACTGTTTCCAATTCTAATTTGCATTTGCCTAAGATTACACAGCTTGGATTACAGGCTGTCTTGGAAAGGACTTGATACAAGAGACTAGAAGGAGCAGAAGTAATAGAGCCGCACTGAGCTGGTCTAACTTTAGATGGGCTGGGAGACTAGGCTTCCCACATGCAGGAATAATGGGTGCCATTATCCATACTCCTTCCTTACCTGATCCCCACAGGCTCCGAGGCTGGAGTCTGGCCCATGGCCCAAGCTTAGCTCACCATAAATGATTCATCCACAGGAGACATTACATATATATTTTTTTCTTCCTGGAGACACAGTATTGCTCTGTTGCCTGGACCAGGGTTTAGTGGAACGATCTTGGCTCACTGCAACCTCCGCCTCCCAGATTCAAGCGATTCTCCTACCTCAGCCTCCCTAGTTAAGTAGAGATTATAGGCACCTGCCACCACGCCCAGCTAATTTTTGTATTTTTAGTAGCAATGGTGTTTCATCATGTTGACTGGGCTGGTTTCGAACTTCTGGCCTCAAGTGATCCACCGGTCTCAGCTTCCCAAAGTGCTGGGATTACAGGCATGAGCCACTGTGCCTGGCCCATTACATATTCTTATTCAGATCTTAAAAGGGTTTTTTATAAGCCATACTTCCAAAGGACAGCAATTGCTGATCCTTCTTGGTAGCCAATGCTGCCTTCAAAGCTCCCGCTGAAGGGTCTGAGAGAAATGATTTGGAAAAATATTAGGTGAGCAGATAAAAACAAAACTCAGGATCTCTGTTACTGAAACCCATGTAACTGCTTCACAGTGGATGTCTTCTCTGAAGCCTACATAAATTTGTAAGGGGGGCGGGGGAAGCCCTTCCTTAGGTCCTAGGCCAACATCCTTTGCCAGCTTCTTTACCAAATGAAACTGCCAAGCTGCAGGTCTTCTCTCACTGCGACTGACTTTCCTAGAGCATCTGGCTCTGACGGAAGTGGCCTGACACCCCTGCTCCTTCAGCTCCCTCTCCACTATTTGGAGGCTGCTCTTTCTCTGCTGACTCCTGGGTCTCAGATGTGCTCGGTGTGTGGCTTCTCTTCTAGTTTCATGAAATTCTTCAACTGTCAGTTTACGCTGAGGGCCAGGTCGTTTTAAGCCATGCCCTCTCTCGTGGGTTTTGGAATTTCCAGTTTCCTCATCCTAGATACCTCCAGCTGAACACCCTACCAGCCTGTGAGAGTGGAGAGCTAAACACACTCATGGAAGAGGGAGGTGCTCACAGCAGGGTCCGTGTGAATAGTGCCGTCTGAAGTTGTAAGGCAGTACTGGGCCGGCGGCACCGTGGTAACGGAGAGAGGATCCTATGCAACCATGTGAGTATGGCTTTGGGATCTGTGCTTAAAAGTTCATTATGGGCACATGAAGACGGAACATGACTTAACGAAATTCTACACTTAATAGACCCTACACTATGTGTCAAACATAAGTCTTATATAGCTTAACAGTTGGTATTCCCTGGAGCAAAACAAAACAAAATAAAAAAAACTCTCTTAAAAAGCAAACTTTTAGAATTCACAAAATAGTTAAGTATTTTAAAAGAACATTACTCTGTATTATGAATTGTTAACTATGAAAAGACATTTAAAATACAATTGCCATTTTCTAACACTACCATTTAAAAAGGGTATTTACACACACACGTGCACGCAGGTCAGACGGAATGAAGCACAAACAAAAGCAGCTACAAGAAGCTACACTGTCTGGGTTTTTAGATACCATCACAGATTAATGAGCAGCATCACAGATGAATACTCATCCACGGATCTCTACATATGGGAGCTTCTGGTTTCGTTTCTGGCTAAGAGGTTAGGATATGGTTTCCCCAAGCATGAAGCATTACTCACTTAAGAGTCTGTGAAAAAAGGATGACCTGGTCTCAAATAAGCTTGAGAAGTACTCCCTCCTCGTAAATATTCCTGATGTTCATATGGTAATAAAGGCTCTGAGAATCTTTGGGTCAAGAAATTTGTTTCACTGTCTGACCCTGGAAGGATTTGTGTACGTCACCTGTGATCACCCCAGAAGACTATTATTTGGCCACACTCAAATATGAAATAATTGGGTTAAAACATGAAATATGTTGGGTTAGAGGAAGAGTAGATACAATTTTAGCTTACTGATGCTGATGTCCTAAAGTGCAGAGCATTCTCTCAACATTCCTATCCCTACTGTCAGAGGAAGAGCCGTGAATGTGGCTGGGCTATGACTGGCTGCTCAGACACTAGTCCACGGGCTTCCGACATGCTCATGCTCATTACTCTCCTGTCTGCTGAGGCCTCTCCTTTGCAAACACAGAAGGGGGGTCTTCTGACCTCAGACCGGAGATCATCCAAAAGGGCCGGCCTCCTGTGTGATGAGAACTTCACAAGTGAAGTCCACATGCAGAAGTCCTCCCAGATCTTGAAAGTGACCTGACCCACCCGAGACTTCAGGTCAACAGGGCAACTTACCTGTGTTAAATAAACCCTAGCACTGTTTACAAATCATATTCAATGCTCTCTTTCTTCCTCACTGACAGGGCACTGACCTGCAAGAGGCCAGCTCTAGTGCCTACTATTTCTTCAATCGTTTTCTTGTGAGAGGTCTGAAATATTTCTCCATGTAAGTGGAATCTAAGTCGACCAGGGGCCTATTCTTTCTACAGAATGCCTCTCCAGAGAAGTCTGTCTAAATGGCCTCAAATGATCTAACAAAAGCAGATGGACTCATTATTAATGGTAGAAAAGGAAAAGGAACATTAATTTTGTTTGTAAGTATTTTTATCTTAACAAGTCTCCAGGGAAAGGCCCATAACACTATGGTGGAATTAGGTGCATAGGTTTGCCATGATCTCTTTAGCATTTCTAACAGGATGAGGGTCAGCCCACTCCCTCTTCTTATTTTTCTTCTGATTTTGAGAAGGAACCATGTAAACCAAGAGAAAGCCTTCTCTTGGCTGATGGTGGAACAGTCTAAAAACGTTAAGTAGACTCTCCAAATTTACATACCAAATTAGAGTTTAGAAGAACAGTGCCTTGTACCGAACAGAAATTCAGTATTTCTGAATTACAGAAGACCTTTAGAATCTGGCAGAAATTCTGTGTTTACAGGAAAAGCTTCATTTGGTAGCTCTCTGAAGCAAAGTTAAGAGATTTGCTAAAATGCCAATTTACAATATTGCTTCCTTCATGATGAAAACCTTAAAGGAAAGCCTGCTGGAACTGTGCACTCTGTCTTCAGCAGAAAAATGAGGTCTTTTATAAAGATTAGAACTTTGCATATGATGTATGCAGGGAAACTCATTCTAGTAAATTTCCATAAGACTCCCATAATAAACTACTGTGTAAATTAGTGGATCACTAGTCCTGTAACTTAAGGTTTTGGTTTAATGCTGGCAGCAGGTGAACTACAATCATGTAATAAAATTTTCTGACAGCTGTTCTACAGAAAGTAGCACTGACTGCTTACAGTGGGAGGCCAGGTACTGGTTTTGTAAGTTAGACTCAAACAGAGTGACCCATGCCTAGGTGATTTCCTCTCAGAAAGACGCAGTTCCATGTAGTTCTTCAAATGAGTTTAACAAAGTTGGACAACCAAAGGAGGTGCCTGAGGTGTGGGTGTAGAGGAAGGATGAGAGCCGTGTTCATGGCGCAGCCACCATGTACACAACTGTAGTAGGGGCTTTGCATATTCATAGAAAACCGAGTACTTACATAGTATTCAGCAGAACTGACGGGACTTCCAGCCCTGAGAAGTAGCCTCAGAGGGAGGGAGCCAGCGCATCTGAAAAGACATGGAGGGAGAAGCCTGTAAGCCAGGGCTCCCCAACACATCCCCATTCTGACGGAGGGTCCCGCTTGCCTACCACTTCCCCACTGTTCCAACATGGTACCCACTCCCACTAGCCTGTGAGGACCTCTTCTTCACGGGGCTGAAAAGCATCAGAGCAGTGTCTTGAGAGATGTCCCACACACCCTTATGAACACATGGGCAAGCTCTCTGAGGAAAGCACCCACCTCGAGACGCACCCGAGGGTCCACCCAGTCCTCTGCTCTCATCCTCCTTTTAAAGGTTAGCAGCTATTTTGAGGCTAAGATCTGGCCCAGCGATTTCCTTTTCCCAGGACTAGGCTGGTGAAAGGCTGTCTAATGGCTTTCTAAGCATAGTATAGAAACACATCTGCTGTGATAAGGAAGGAGCAGTTCAAGAGCCCACCCATGCCAGTGGCCTGGCTAGGACTTCACTGCGATTTTGTTCTTGTTCTAGAAAAAGGGTCTGGCTTCTTGGCACTGCGGGTGCCTGTACCCCAGGCCCTCTGCTCACTCTGCTGAGGAGATGGGCCTGCAGCTTTTAGCAAGGAGCTTCCCAGGTAGGACCAGCAGCCCTGTCTCTTCCATTAGCTTTCCAAAGTGGAAGGCCAGCCCCAAACACAGGTGGACTGAGCAACACTGTCCACCTGGCCATATATTCCAGGTCTTATGCCAAGGAAAACATGAAAAGGAAAAAAAACCAAAAGGGCAAGTGCACTTTGTCTTTAACAGCATTCCTCACTGGCCGTGTCAGTTCTGGACAGAGGCAAGAGATGCCTGCCTCCCACTGCTCTTCTCTTCACATGGAAGAGGCATGGTCTCCCCATGACCGCCGTTAGCAGCTCAGAAGCACTGCTGAGAGTGGAGAAGGTAAGGCCTGTGGGGCCACGTCAGGTGAAGCCCTCCTGTGGGGCGGCAGAGGAGGACTTACTCGGATCTCCAAAGGGTAACGACAAAGCAAGAGCCATTCTAGCTCAAATGGAGATGCAGGGGGTCTGGCAGGCCGCAGGGCTCGGAAGGGACTGATGGAAACTTCCTGCCTCATCTCCTTGTTTTACAGGTGGGGATGCCAACTAGGTCTGGGTATTCTGAATGACCATGATCACAGGGCCCAGCGGGGTCAGAATCCAGGATGAGGCTCCATGAGATCCCCTAACCTGACTCTAAAAGCAGGGATGTCTGGAAATTAGGTCCTAAAGAAATCTGACACAGCACCCCGACCTGGCTCATGGTCCAAGCACCTCCCCACGGGCTTCCTCATGAGCGGTTCTTTCCTCACCAGCCTCAGAGTGAGCAAATGCGGGCTTAGGACACACTGGAGCTTCTGCCTACAATACCACTCCCGTTAGGCTTCCTGTGTGTCAGGTCTTCTCTGGCAACCATGCCAGATATGATCAGAGACCAGATGACCAGGTAGAGCATGGAGGCTGGAAAATACACTCCTCTGGGAAGTCAGTGCAGAACAAAAGAAAGAGGGCAATAGAGGGCCAGATGGGGGTGAGGTAGGAGCAGGCAGGAAGTGGGACAGAAGAGTCCAGGGGAGGAGGGAGGGCAGAGGTGGGGAGAAGAAAGAACTCATACCTACCCACGGCTCACGGCCTGGTGCATCTGAATCCACTGGCTCACTAAGCAAAGAGCAGAGTTGGAGCCGCCTTCCTGAGACAGGTGGGAAAGGACAGGGCAGGGACACAGAGCCCCCATGGCAGGTAGGGGGCTGGACACCTAAACACACAGTAGAGGGGATGGGTCTGTGTGCACTGGGTCAGTGTGGAGCGCAGTGGTGCGACTGGTGTGGCCTGGGTGTGGGTTGGGGCGCCAGGCCCCGACGAGGCCAAGACGTGACGGTGCTTCACAGGAGTCACAGGAAGGGGAGGGCTGCCCAGGGGAGAGCCGCACAGTGGATGGCATGGTTCTGCTTTCTGTGCAGGTGACTGCGAGAAGGAAGCCCTGCCCCAGCCTCTCTGACCAGCTCTCGCACACAGCCCCCACGTTCTCACTTGCACAGGTGCCTGCAGGGTGGGGGATGATCGTGCAGCCTGTCCTCAGGCTTTCGTCAACCTGGTCGAGGTGCACTCCAGGGTGACACGAAGGTGGGTTCCGAGCTGTGGGGTCCAGGGAGACTGTGCTCAGCTGAGGAGTGAGGACGCCAGCTATGCAATAGGTGGCTGCTCCTCAGAGTGGATCGGGTGGCGGGTGGCGGGTGGCGGACACACAGACCCCTGAATTCATCGCTCTTGTGTCTCAGGCTAGGACACTATGTACTTGCCAAGTGGGGGCTCTTCTCACCGCATCCACAGACACCCACGGCCGCCTTCTCTTCCAGCCCTGAGAGGCTCCGCTGCGCCCACCTTCCAGCAGAGGGCAGTGCCCCCCAGGCCAAGTCTGAGCGGCTCCTTCAGGTTCCCACACTGCAGCCAGGCAGAGCGGCAGGGATCGTGGCGCACAGCAGAGTTCGGGAGCTGGCCCAGGGAAAAAGCTGCTCTGTGCTAATCACTGTGTGGGGGTAACGAGGAGAGGGTTCCCTCTTAGCCCCATTCAGGCTGCTTGTTCTGCTGTGGCTTTTGGCCCTGTGTCACTCCTGCCCATCCCCTAAGGGCTGCTTTACAATTTTTAAAGGGGGGAACCTACAGTTCCCTCTAGACTGCCTGGGTCAGGGTCCTCTCACACAGTTCAGCAGGAGTTGAGGACTCCTCATCATGTAACAAGGGCTGGCCTCCCATGCAAGACAATGGCCCCTGACATCTCCTCATGCCATGTACAGAAAGTGTACACACACACCCCCTGTTGTCTCCCTTCCCCCCTACTTCTCTCTCTCAAACGTGCACACTCAGTCTTACACACAATCCCAGGGTCTTCTCAAGACCCTGTAAGAAAATTTAACACAATATACTTAACCAAACTGACCCTGGTAGTCTGTGCCAGAGACCGCGCTAAGCACTTCACATGGCCTGTGACATCTAAGGCAACATGGGCAACCCTGGGAATCTTCTCCAACGGAACTTAACAATAGTTATGACTATTACAATTCACTACCTACGGCCACACTGTTTGGGATTCTGCCATCGCTCTTCTTCAGGAGTGCTCTTTTAAAATGCGTGCGCCCCTGCACGGCTAACACTCATCTCCAACACTTAGCATGGTAACAGACTGAACAGGAGAGCACCAGACACCCAGAAAAAGTAGTAACTGAAGGGTAAAAATCAAATGGAATGCTAGAGAAAATGGTAACCACCGATAAAAATAATTTCCATCCTCTTCCATTTATAGATGAGAAAATGAAGGGCCAGAGGATTAAATACAGACAGAATTTATGTTCCCAGTACTGATGCCAAGGACAGGAAGACCTTGACTAGTCTCGGGTGGACACCCTGCCTGAAGCGCCAGCCCTTCTATGGTGGTGAGTGAGTAGCACAGGGTGAACTCTAACCTGACAGCAATGATGTATGTGCACGGTACCATCGTCTTTCTAGGGGCTAAATCCCACTATCATACTTGTGCTTATAAACAGTCATGAGAAGTGCTTAGCAGGTGACTGGCTCAATTAATGGTCACTATTGAAAGTAAATATCCGATGGTTTGACTGTTTTCTTCTCTGGGGAATGAAGGGGTAAGCCTAGACCAGTGGTTCTCAGGTTCCTGGACCATCAGCATCACCTGGGAACTTGTGAGAAATGCCGAAACTCTGGGAGGGGAGTCCAGTAAACTGCACTGAAAGCAGCCCTCCAGGTGATCACCAGGTACATGCTCAAGTCTGAGAGATGCTGCTCTTAATTAAGGTTTCAAAAAGTATGGCTGGAAGAACAGTGGTCTAGAAACGCTCTAATGTCAAGGACATTAGAGAGAAATGCACAGTCTGGTCCCTTTGGCAGATTCTTGATACACATCAGCACAGTAAAGCCTCTGAGAAGTTCCAAAATAAACCTGTCTGACTTGATCTAGACCTGTGCTGCCCAAGTTTATCTGACTGCGGAATCTCTGTATTATATAACAACTGTGAATACCTGTGGGTGTTGGGAAATGTTGGTCTGGAAGGCCCCCTTCCAGTGTAGCATTTGGTGGATCTAAGAGGCTGGGCTGTACCATTTGTATCCTTCAAGCTGGAAGACAGACCAGCAAACCAACTAGTGCTCTGATGTCTTCCCTACATGGAGCAGCTACAGATTTTCTCACATTGCCTAATACAGATGCTGTATCTGAATGCAGGTTTCCCCTGCACCATTCCGAAGTCAGCTCTCCCTCTTTGAACAAAACAGTTAAAAACAGTAGCTTGAACAAGTTGTTTTACACAAACAATGGGAATGTTATCTCAAACTAATGGGTTAATGTTTTGAAGGCATGGATATTCTTAGGCAGGTTTCTATGACTCTCCCCAAAATGAAACCCTGAAGTCCCCTGTGGGGTTCGTTCCCAGCACTGAGCCAACTGCAGGGAACCACTCACACAGTGACAACCTACCATCAACTCTGCCCCACTCGCTCCAGACCTCAGGATCCACTTTTGCGTAGCATCACCAAATAAAGCATGTCAGGCCATTACAGCAAGCTCTGTCAGAAGCTGCCAGGCCCAGCATAATCTGATCCAAGCAACTCCAAACTCACTGAATAGGCTGGAGGGATGATGCACAATACAAAAAGATTGTCTCCCTTATGGCGCTGACTGCAAGGTTCTTTTAAATAGCAGCCCTCACCTCCGTTTCTAATAAAGCACTCACCAAAACTGGAAGAACACTTTTTAGGAATTTCGATGCTGCATGAAGTGAGTCCCCCTTGTAAAGGGACCTGTCCTCTTCTCCCCACCCCCCCAGAATTGGCCGCCTATGCTCTTTCTCAGCAGACTCAGAGGCATGAAAATGTCATCAGCATTCTCTACTACCTGTCTGGCACCTAATACTCCTTGCCTAGGGCAATTAAACAAGTCACTATAACTAGGGAAAATGTCAAGACTGATGTGACTTGGTCCTTGGTTAAGGCTGCCATCTCACCTCCCGAACAGCTGGAAAAGAGGTGAGCCATAAACTCCTGGCTGGAAAGAGGCCACGCTCCACCCTGGCCTTGTGCTCTTGCAAGATCTTCCAGTCACAATGGCAGGTGCTGAGGTCCGAGCTCAGGCAGGGACAAGGTCTAGACCACAAGGACAAGGTCCTAGGACTGGGAATATATCCTGATAAGCCCGATCAGAGCTGAGTTTAATTAAACAGAAACCTCTAGGGAGAATTTTATCTCCTGGGATTTTAATACTTTTTTCCTGTCTGTCCTAAGCAAAAGCTAGGCTCTGCTTCCAAACAGGCATGTGAAATGTGCCCAGACATCTCAGAAGTTCACTCGAGATGCCACTTAGGTTAAAGGCACCCAAGCGTGTAACACCCTGTGTCAGATTAAGTCCACAGTGGTTGCTTATCATCCATATTTAATTCTGTCAGTCTGTTAATTTTTAACTATGTTTGCTATCAAGGGCCATTAGAGGTCCCCAGGAGCTGAGCTCAGTGAAGCGCATAGAACTTTGTGGCAGAATGCACGAAGCTTGAAGTTGGGGCGTCCCACTTTCCCATCCTGTTGCTGGATCTGGCCTTCCCCACTGGCAGCACAAATCCTGAATAAAACATGATTCCATTTGGAGTTGATTTTCCTTTTCCCTCACTGTCACAATGGGTTTTCTTCATGGAAAAGTTAACTTGCCCCTTTTATGAAGGCTACATTTTATAATTCCAAAGTTTCTGTGCAGCCTCAGTTTTGTTTCCAAAGCAGTTAAGAGTTCATACTTTCTGAATGGCATCTGGGTGCCCATTCCTATGGAAGGAAGCCAAAAACCCTGGGTACACAGCCAGCAGACCCAACCAGAGAGCCTTGTCTCGGGACAGACACACCACAGCCGCAGACCATTCTTGCCCTGGTTCCGGTGCTTCTCTTCTTTATCAAAGCAAAATGCCTGGGCCCTTAGGTTTCTCTCACTGGGGTCCTGGTCAGGAGTCCCTGTGTCCTCAGTGCTTCTCAAGCTTACAGGGAGGGCTCAGGGGCCTCTGGGCCATGCCAGATCAAATGCTGACAAAGGGAAGGCACTGGAAGAGCTATTTTAATCATAACTATGACTGTAAGCCAAACATGTTACTCTTTCTTGCAAAATAACGCCATGGAGTAGATGTTCATTCTTCCCATTTATAGACGAGGAAACTAAGGCTCAGGGCTGTTAAAAACAAACTTGCCTAAGATTCCAAATTTAGCAGAGCGGGTAGAAATGTCTTTACAATCATGTGTTTGATTTAAAAGCACCAAGTCCCAGTTAGGTGCCAGGCGCTCGGCAGCACCCGACTGTGACAGTTGGGACACAAGGTTGTTAAAAGCCAAAGGCACAGACGGCACTTCCAGGTGCAACTTGCTAGGATTCAGGGTTGGGCTCTTACTGCTAGTAAGGTCAGGGGAGAAGGTGCGCGGGATCTGAGTTTAACCTTTGCAAAGGACAAAATGGAACACACTTAGAAACCTGGAGAACAGTGCACCGAATGGAGAGCAATGCTGACCCCAGTCAGGAGGAAGCCCACGTAGAGATGTTCTGCCAATCCTGGCAATAATATTGTGATTTCTAGGGCCAAAGCCACACAGCCACATAGTAAGGGACTGATTCTGGTTTCTGAACAGCATTTCCTCCTAAAACTGCCCAACATGGAGAAATTTGGGCTTCAGTAGCAGCAGCTCTGAACAAAAGAACATCTCTCCCTAACACCCTGGACAGATGGTTTTAGAGGACGGCTTCTGAAGAGGCCAGTTAGGAGGCAGGAGACCATGCTGACGTCTCACTGTGAATGAGGAAGAGGTGGAGAGGGTCGCCAGGGAGAGAGCATCCTCCTGGCCGGGGGCAGATTCCTGGGTTTCATCACAGGACTGTGAAGAGAAGAATCTCCCCAAGTACAAGATGTAACTCCATTGCCTGGAAATGAGGCTGAGGAGAATCCTAGCAGAAGGACTGTTGGAAGAAAGAGCCAGAAAATACAGGGAGGAATGAGCTGGGTGACCTGTGGTCCTTTCTCCAGTTTCTCCGACAGGAAAGCAAGATAAAGCCACAGCTGGAAAGGTCAGGGACAGTGGGTTTGTGTAAAGTAACTCACAAGGGCCATTCCGTTTCTGGGATTCCAGCTGCCCAGTCCCCTCCTCCCCTGGATGTGTTTCCTGTCAGAAGGGTGTTCTGGTGGCCGAGTCCCAGCCTGGCTTGGGGAGTCTCCTCTTGGGGATAAGCTCTCCCAGTGCTGGCACAAGCTGTAAGGGCAGATGCTGTCAATTGGTGCTGTCGGTGGCATTCTCACGTAAATGCCTCATCTTACTTCCGTGATTCATTCATGCTTTCCAGTCTTCCATTTGGCTCCAGCCATGAGGTCTCTGCAGCCCCAATAGTGTCATCCACATGTGCTGGCTGTCCTGTGTCTTAACTGTCACTGCCTTGTGGGTAGCTCAGGCATAGTCCTGGGCTTCCTTCTCCTTATTGAAAATTCAAATGTCCCTAAGAAGATCCCAGAGAAGGGTTACCTTTAAAGCAAACATTTATGAAGCCTCTCTGATATGTTGGGTACTCTCTTAAGTGTTTACGTGAAGGATTATGTCCCTTTTCCTGAAGCCCAGAGAGGTTAAGGAACTTGCTCAATCGAGGTCGCACAGCATGTAAATGGCTGAGCTCATTTCTGGCCAGGGAGTTCCAGAGCCTGTTCCTTCCACCTACATTCCTGCCACGGGCTTAGAAAGGAAAACGCGGCACTGCAGAGCTCTCCTGAAAGGTGCAGCTCAGAGCACAGGCCCTGCCTCAGGAGGCAGACACAGAAATCACCCCTAGGAAGGGCCTGGGAAAGGAAAGGAGACCCGGCCCACTCTCACAGGAGCTGGGTGCCAGCTGTGAGCATGATCCCGGGCCTCCCTGCCCTCCCTTCCTGTGGGAGCTAAGCCAGGGGCTCCTAGAAAGCCTCACCAAACAGGAAACCAGGCAAGGCCAGCACTATCAGGAGATGAGCGCTCAAGGGGTGGCTTCTCTTCATAATCTGACCTTCACAGAGCTGTAGTTGGAAAGGTAAATGTCAGAGGATTAATAGTTTCATTTATGTCTGAAAACAATGGAAGGCCTTGGGCAGAAGAGCCCCAAAGGTAAACTCTGTAGTCCTCTAAACCATGGTTTTCCGGACAATCACAGCCATAGCCACAGCTCGGGAGCACACAGTACATACCTTCTGGAAGCCCAGGCCTCAAAGACAAGTAGGTCAGGGATCAAGGGTCAAGTGCTAAAGTGACCCGAGAGTCACAGAAGCAAGTACCCAGAATCTCTGGACTCCTACCTCACTGCTAGGTAAAGTGTTGAGGCCACCTTCTGGGGGCCCCAGACATGGCTCTGTTCACAGGATTCCCTGGAGGACCAACCACCCTTATAGCACTGACCACTGCCTTCTGTACAGGAGCTGGAAGCCAAAACCAGAGTCCTTGCCACGTGAGCCTCACATGTGCCTGGAGGGATCCACAGCTGTCTCGCTGCGGGGAGACTTCCAAGGAGCCGTGTGTGCACTGAAGCCCACACGCAGCGCTGCCCTCAATACAACCTCCCCAATACTCTACGTATTTCAAACATACCCAACACCAGTGCAGAAGCCCTTGTGTTTTTTGACTAAGTATTTTCTACAGGACATAGTGACGCAGATGCTTAACACAATCTGCTTTTTTTAAAATCTAGTTTTCAGGCTGGGCATGGTGGCGCATGACTGTAATCCTATCTACTTGGGAGGCTGAGGAAGGAGAATCACTGGAACCTGGGAGGTGGCGGTTGCAGTGAGCCAAGATCGCGCCACTGCATTCCAGTCTGGGCGACAGAGCGAGACTCCATCTCAAAAAAAAAAAAAATCTGGTTTTCCTAAGTATCCTGCTGCTGACAAGCAAATGTTCAGATACAGGGGCGGTGGGGACAGCCCTGCAGTTCAGGTGGTCCACCACTATTCCCAGGCCCATCTAGTCTGTGAGCTCCCTTCGCGGTTAACCTATGCCTCTCTTCCCACGGTCCACTTCTATATTCATTTTGGATTTAACCTTTAAAATTTTTCCGGTGTGTCACAGGGCCCTCCCAAGGGGCATGTATGCCTCGTCCTCAGGCAGTCTATGTTATAATTTAAAACCTTTGGTTCATGTACAGGTAAGCCGCACAAGCAGCCTATTAGAAATCCGAGAGAACTGCTGTTAATCTGGACAAATGAGGCCTCTGAAAAGCCGTAAGGTAACCAGGGTTTTCTCTCTCAGTCCTACTTACCTGCAGAAGCTTCTGGCCCACATTGTGACTCTGAGTGAAGTAGAGGGTGCATGGTGGTGTGTTTCGAGAATGTGGTAAGGACAGTATACTTTACTGACTTTCCTCTCTGCTCCATCACAACAAGACTAAAAGCAAAACGCGAACTCCAATCTAAGAAGCGGAAGTGTGTGAATGTGAGGTGACAGCAACAGCTGTATACTCTCTTCAGCGTATAACTTTTTTGAAAACAATGGATGAAAGCTTCCTCCCCTAATAAATTTCAAATACCAATGACCTTGAAAATAAACTGGTCACTTTTTAAAATGTTAATGATCTTCTTAGCAATCAGACGTTTGCTGCAAAGGGTTGCTCTTTCATCTCTAAACATTGTTAGTACTGAGGCTTTCAGTCCTATCACCTTAACCAATAATTTCTAAAAAATGGGATCTGATGGCAAATAAGCATCTTTACTTTACAGCTGGGAAATCTGAAGGGGTACCAGACCACAACTGAAGCCGGGGCAGGGCTAGAAAAGTGACTCAACTTCTTTCAACGATACTTTGTCTCCTGGTCTTCCTTCCGGTGGATCACAGTGGGAAGAGTGGACAACGCGTCCATTCGTTTCACATGGGCTCCCCTAGCTATACCCGCCATCTCTGCTGAAGTGAGGTCTCCTGATGGATGAGACGCTTCCAACATGGAGCTCTTGGTGGCTCTTCCAGCAGCCCAGGCAGAGAAAAGCAGCAGCGGTGTGGCCTCAACTCCAGGATCTGGTCTCCCAAGGAAGCTCGTTCTGAGTCCTTCCATGTAAAATAGACTTGGTGTCACGGGCCCAATTCTCCCACCACCTCAGTCAAAGAGTAACACCTTTGCTCCAAAACTGCATCACCATGAAAACAAAACGCTGCAGTCTACTTGAGATCATTTTTGCTCTGATTAAAATTTTTATTGAAATCTCTCAAAGGTCGTCAAGAAATAGTTTTTGCAAAAGGGGGGAAAAATAGCTAACAAACAAATTCAACATGGGAGCTCCCTCTGCTGGTCTGCAGTAGGTTGGTATGTTACAAACACATTCCCAGAGACAAATCTAATTTGCTGGAGAAGTGGACAAAAGACAGGTGTGTTGGGCTTTGCCTCAGGAGAGAAACACTAGAAGAAAAAAAAAATCCATGTCTCAAAATAGAGCATAACATTGCTAAGAAAAACAAAATTATTTAAAGACTCTCCAAAGATATTATAAGATTTCCAAAACAAAAACTGAATTATCCAATATGGGGAGATGCCCTGTAAAAGCTCCAGTCTGCTCTACCTCCAGTTAATAAAGATTCTCTTGGGCCCTTTGGGTGAAGGTTAAATGCTGATTCCCTTGTCTTTGCCTCCAAGTCTCTTCTTATAGGCTTCCCATCTACTTAGAGAAGAAAGATCCAAGGAGTCACTGGAGTGAAGCCTTCCCAAAATTCCATTAAAAAGTAAGTCTGTGGTGAGCCAGCACCTCGGAGTGGAAAGAGCCAGGCCTGGGAGTCAGGTGACCTGGGTCTAGTCATGGTAGAGCCACTTCAGATTGTGGGTAACTCCCTCCATCTTCTTAGGCCTGATTCCTCATCTGCAGAATGGGCCAGACCAGCTGATCTGTAAAGCCTCTACTAGTTCATTCTGATTCTCATACTGGACAAATAAATTTAAATGACCATATTTGTTCATAGAGTCCATGACTGCCCTGGGAATGACTCCAAACAAGAAGTGGCGTCGAACACTGGTATCAGATGAGAGTCCCAACAAATCTGGGACCAGTGTGGCAGAGCTAAGTGGATTCCAGTTTGGAAAAATCTCAAGACCAAGGAAGAAGTCTCAGGGGAGAGTGCCACCACGGGCAAGGCATCCCATTAAGTCAAGTGACTGAGTCCATCTAATCTCGGCACTGTCTCTCCCCATCCTTCCTCACAATTGCATATGCTTTCTAATCTCTTGAGACGCTTTAGGCCCTTCTCTTAGCATATCCTATCTCCAGAATTACTTCTGATTTTACCCATTACATGAATGAAGAATGGGCAGATGTCAAGGCCAAAGCCACCATTCCCAGTACTTTCCGGCTGTTGTCAACTCTTGATTATCCAGGGTAATGGTGAAAGGCTTTGTTGGTGACCAACCAAAGCCATGGCTATTCAGAAGACTATGTAAACATGCATTGTTTCATGATACTTACTAACATTTGCCTTGATTGCCACATGATCTGTACCTAGCAGTCTAGCAAGAGGAGAGACACCGTCCAGGGCAGGGGTGGGAGGTGGCAAGTAAAAGGGGCTCTAGTTGCCCCATGTCATCCACGTATTTATCCACAGCCCGCTAACAAAGATCCTAATGACTCAGCAGAAGACTCCTACAGGTTTACATGTTATCCCCTCTCCCCATTACCTGCCAGTTGTAAGGGTTCCCAAGCACTGACACGGAAAAAGGAAGAAAAAGCAGCAGGGGAAGGAGAGACCAAAGGCACAGGTAATCCTGCTCCTTTATGTTTGGTACCATGTACTCTTACCACCACCACCTACACTTTTTTCTTCACTATTTGTAGTACTTTCTCCCTTCTCCCGACACAAAGGGCAATCATTACTGGGGCCCAGGCGCCAAGGGCAGCCCCAGGAAGCCGGGTCGTCAATGCACACCCAACACGTTGGTAACTCAGCGAAAAGAATTAAAAGATGTTCAGCCAACAACAATCTTGACCCCATGGCTTTCAAGAACCCTTGCTGGGGGCTGCTTCTAGGTGGTCTTTATCGACAGTGAGTTCTGTACAACATAAAAGAGTTTTAAGTCAGAAGGAAGTTTTCTGGGAAGCTGTTTATTTCATCCAGCCTTGTAAACAAACACTGAGCAAAACAAACAAAAACTCCACCTGTCCAGCCTAATCATCTTTAAAAATTTAAAATTTAAGGGCCGAATTACACATGCAGAAAGACAAATGAAACCTACATAGGTACTTTCTATTTATTTGTTACTGGTCATCAATCTTTGCAGACCAAAGAACGAGTGATTATCTCCAAAGGTGAATCTTTACGTTGATTACTACTACTTGCACTCAAAGCGAAGCTAAGAGAAATATTTTCTCCAAGGGGAGAGAAAGTGTTAGTACATAGACAGTAGTCTTTGTGGAGAAACAGGAAGTTTGTTTATAAAAATCACGCTATTTTTAACTAAGAAAGAAAGCTAGTCAGAAAAGAGAGCTCTACCTTGACCTATAATTCCATCTTAGACACTGCATTATGCCGCCTTTTCTACAGGGTTTCCTCAAAATGGAGAGAAGGAACCCTTAATCTTTCCTGTAACATATTTAAGAAAGTACAATCTTGCCCCAGAAGCTTTCCCTTTGGTCATAGATTCTTCTTACAGTACACCAGAGTGGAAACCTCTCAACACACAGAAACACGCACAGACGCACATAACTCCTGCTCCTAGCACACACCTTCCTCTGTAGCCCTTCCACACAAGGTACACACATATACACTCTGGTGATGCCCTCTAGCTAGCTGGGAGCCAGGTGGATAAACTTGCCCCAGTCCCTCATGTGCAATATGAGGTGAGATCATTAAGGAAGAGAGGTGTCACTTGGGGCAAACATCAGGCAGTGGGTGATATCATTGCTGTCAGACGATCCTCATAAGTCCTGAAGGAGTGTCAGCTTGATTTAGAGGGAATCATTAATCTCTTGAAGGTGGATCTGTTAGCTGGATAGGTGTTAGTTGTATGGTGTGCTCTGGGGAACCAGGTTTGAAAGGACTGGTGGTGGAGTGAGTGAAGTCGTGGCCGATGGGTATAAATTACCTGGGCATGCAGTGAAGCGGGATAGGTGAAAGCAGGAGGAGGTAGAGCAGGCGCTAACTCCGCTGGGTACAGAGGGTACGGGGCCCACACTTCAGGGCTACTGGGGTAAAGTGCAGGCACTGTGAGCTCATCTGCAAGAAAAGAATAAGGCAAGAGTTAGTGGTTACCAAACAGCTAGTTTCAAATCAGAAAACACAACACCCAATAACCCCAAGCCCCAATCAATGTCAGAAGTCAAATTACTCTCATTCTTTTAATAACCTGTTGTTGGCTTTGGTCCCACAAATGCTAAGCAAAGGAACGAAAAATATAACATAAGAAAAGCAACAAGCATCTGCTGCCTGTCTGGCCTGCTGAGATCTCAGGCTTGGCCTCTGCCTTGGACACTCTGATGTCTTTCCAACTGGAGCTGGGGAACCCAAGAACAGTGGGAATTTCCTGCACAAAACAGAAAATGTGGCCCTCTGAGGAAAAGGGAGAGAAAGAACTAATAAAGGATATCCCCTAAGAACCCACTGCAGGGCCACTGGGAAAACAATGGCTTTAACGGCAGGGCCTCAACAGACCAGAACTGGAAGTCTTTTCTGTTTATTGGCATAATTACTATTGACAAGTCAGTCATGATCATCAAGCGTTTTCCATTTAGCCCTCAGAAGAACAGGGACAAATACTGTGACCATGGGGCATTTAAGATTCTAAAAATTCAGAGAAGTGAAAGATCTGAGAATCCTGATTAAAACTAAACTCCACAAAGATGTAAACTGGAACATTTCCAGTTGCTCTTCAGACTAACTTTCATGGGAAAAAAGTGAGTCATATTGCCAAGCGCCTGGTCTAAGTGTTGCTCAGGCAGCTCCAATTCCACTCAGGTCAGGCTGCAGTTGGCCAGATGGAAGGGCAAGTGCCTGGGCCTCCGATGTATCAGGAAGCAATCCATTAGAAGTAACAGCAAACACCATGAGCGAGCTTCTCAGGAAAGGCAAAATAACATCAGTCAATAAGCAAGGAATCTGGGCCCTGTGAAGCAGCAATCTCAATATGTGCTTTTATCACCTGTCAAAATCTGAAATCAAGTTTGCCAAGGACGTTATCCAGGACTGCTGTGGGAGTCAGCAAAAGGTGATTGGATAAAGTCATTAGTAACTCTGCCTTTGAGGACTTTCCTTAAGTCTACAGTGCATGTGACCCAAGGTCAACAGAGTCACTTTATTCCTTCCCACCATCTCAGCAGTCATTGTCCAGGCCCAGTGTCTCAGCATCCCTCCCATTCCCCCAAAGTCTTCAATACAGAAAGTGGGCTAGCAACAGAAAACTGCTTTGCTCGGTATGCTGTGGGACTGCTCTATGGAGAAACCAGAAAGTAGTAGAGACTGTGGGTAAATGTGGATCTGGTCGGCTGGAGGTAGGTGAGGCTTCCCCACAGCCGGCGTGCAAGGTATGAGCTTCTCTCAGGACGGTAGGGAGTCAAGAGCTGACTGAAGATGATCTGTTCAGAGAGCAGCTTGTACCCATTCCCAGATATGATGGGACGCAAAAATGTGGTGTAACATACTGCAACTGGTTGACCTTCCTGATTCCCTCCTTCTCTGAGACAGTAAAAGGTACCTCCTCAGGCCTTGGTAATGGAAAAACAGACTGCCTGTGTATCTAACTGGGAGAGATGAGCCCCTAAGAGTAGACTGATCATTATTATTTAGTCAGGGTAACAACAGTATCACCAGAGTCCTTAAAATGATCAGGTTCACAACATCTACTTCAAGTTCTGGGGTGCGCAGGTGCCTGTAGCCCAAGGCTTAGGGACCCCTCTCAGAGGGGCTGGGAGGAGCTTAATAGATCCCTGTGCTTCCTGTTGTGATGAGACCGTGTGATTCCCAGAGTAACTCATCTGGGAGACCAGCTAGTGGAAACTAACTGCTGCCAGAACCGATGCCTTGAATTTTAAACAAACAACCATTCTCAGGAATGGCAAGCTATTATGGTTGCTGTTATTTTAGCTTCCAGGCTATTTTAAGACATTCTGAGCCTTTTAAAAAAGTCAAGCCTCAGTACACTCATCTGCAGCCCATGCTTGTCTGTTCCCACTGTGATAGCAGAAGACTGTAAAACTGATCCATACAACTGATTCCAACTGACAGAACCCTCAGAGGGAACACGCTTGGCCTGCAGCCTGTCAGTGGTCCTTCCTCATCTTCCTGCCTCACAGGAACTGGTTAACTGGGGCAGGGTGGGTAGAGATGGTTACCTGACCAGTGGTTGCTTCCTTTAGAAACTTTTAAAAATAAAATGAGTATGTCCTTTAAGATATCATCCTGAAGAGATAAGCAACAGAGATAAGCTGGAATCAGATTTCAATGTTAGCCTGACTGACAGAATTTATGATTTCCAGACCGTTCTCTATTTTTATCCTGAAGCATTACTTTCCCTTGGTTCTTTACTGATGCTTTGAGACAATTCACCATTAACATTTGCATAAAACCTAGCCCAACAGAAAAGAGGATTTGCTCTGAAATTCCCTAAACTCAAAATTTCTTAGTAATAGTAAAGTAGGTAGTAAGGCAGAGGCCTAGAAGAGATTAAGGTGAACTTACACTTGATAAATCCCTTGATACATCTTATCTCTCTCTCTCCCTTCTCCCCTCATGAAGGAATGTGGAGTTACCATAAATGTCAAAAGATATGTGGTCTGACCAGGTCAGGATCACACCTAAAGCAGTCCTCACAGACACCTACCTTTTCAGTATGAGCCTGAGCACTCGCCTAACACGCACACATGCCCCTCCTTTGACGGAAAGGGGTATTAAAGCAGAATAAGCTTTTTTCGTTTGTTTGCTTTTTCATTGCTTGCGAAAATTACAAAAGCTAGAGAGACAGGTTTCCACAGCGTGATCCCTTCACAAGGACTCCCACTGAAGGAGCAGGCAAGGCCCTGATGGGTTTCACCTTCCTGAGTCACTGGCCATCCTGCTCAAACTTTGTAGGATGGAAAGCTGAAAAAAGAAGACAAAGATTGCTGCTCAAGGCCCACTTGGATGATTTGGAGTTTAGGGAGGGGGTGAGAGTCCTCTTGACAAAAGAGGCTCTTGACCACCCAGAGTGAGCCAGGCCCCACTGAGCAGAAAGAGGGCAGATCAAGAGGCCAGGGCTTTTTTTGTCTGGGTCTAATCCGTCCCTCCTGAGAGGCTGGGCAAATCCTTTCCCATTGCACCAATCTGGCTACATCTTTTCTTTCTTGCACCTTCTGAGGATAATGTTGAGGGCTCACAATATACATCTGAATAGGCTTTTTTTCTTAGCATGAGAATATGCAACCAGAAGAGCTCAAATTGGATTCTGAAAAACAAGGACTAGAAACTTCCAACCCCAACCTGTAATCCCTTTGAAAAGAAAAAACTGTGAGCTTCTGATGAAGGTTTAAGCCTACAGAGCTTGGGAAGATCACCTAGTCAGCCCTTTTGCTTTAGACGAGGAAACAGATGCAGAAAGGTGAAGCTTCCAGTCTGCAGTCACACTGAGAGAGAGAGAAACAAGAATGACTCTTAGAGACAACTGAGAGATGGAAGAACGGGGAGAACCTTTAATGGTTAAATATGGCCATATATCTCTGAGTTTAGTTGGTAACACAAGGTTTTTTTTGCCTCCTGAAAATGTCTATTTGGAAATATTGCACAGCAACCTCATGCTCAACATACCGAAAACTAAATACTCTCCTTCCAATGACCTCTCCTCGTTGGCTCTGGATTTCATTAAGATGCTACCTTCCACTCAGCTGCTAAAGCCACAAACCTGGTGGTCACCCCATTCTCCCTCTCATTTAATCTTTCATCAAGGTCCTGCTGAATCTATCCCCATGATCCAGTTTGATCTTCAACACCACTACTGGATTACTGAAAAGGCCTCCTTAAAAGCCTTCCACACTGAAGTCAAGACAACTTTAAAAATACACAGTTTGGCCACGTGCAGTGGCTTACACCTGTAATACCAGTGTGCTTTGGGAGGCAGAGGCAAGAGGAGAAAGATCACTTGAGGCCAGGATTTGAGACCAGCCTGGGCAACACAGCGAGACCCTAATAAAAAAATATTAGCCAGGCCTGGTGGTGCATGCCTTTACTCCCAACTACTAGGGAGGCTAAAGTGGGAGGCTCACTTGAACCTAGGACTTACTTGAGGTTGCAGTGAGCTGTGATTATGCCACTGCACTCCAGCCAGGACAGCAGAGTAAGACCCTATCTCTAATTCAGTCATGTCACTCCCACTTAAAACCCTTCTCTATGATTTCCTCTTGTTCTGTGGATACTGTCTGAACTCCATGTAATGGCCTGTAAGACCGCAAATGATCTGGCCCTCATCCACTCTCCAGCCCCGATTCTCCCTCATGGCCTGGGATCAGTCACTTCCAAGGCATGACTATGCCTGCTTCTCTCCTATACACTGCTCTCTCCACCAGGGGCACTCTTCTCCCCTCCTTTTGCCTGGCTTACCTTTCTCCTCAGTTACTTACTCCTTCCACCCATCTTAACTCTTGAGTGTATTCCACTTAGATGCCACTTCTAGTCTAGAAGATTGCTTTCTCTGTGCTCTACCACATCCTGCACCTCCCCAGACACAGCAGTTACCTCCTGGACGGCAAGCTCTTATTCTTGCTCACCAGTGCCTACCACCATATAATAAGACAGTATCAAGAAATCAACCATTTGGGCATGAGAATCACTTGAACCTGGGAGATTCAAGCGAAATGAACCTTGAACCAGGACATTTCAGTGAGCTGAGACCGCACCACTGCACTCCAGCCTGTGCAATGAACCGAGACTCTGTTAAAAAAAAAAAAATATATATATATATATATATATACACACACACACACACACACACACACACACACACACATACATACATACATACACCACTTGCTTTATATTTGAGAAAATGAATGAAGAAAAATACTTCCATCCTGCCTTCAGGTGAAGAAATAGCCAGACTGAGGGTTAATTCAATTCTGGGTGGGAGAGGTCTCGTCTCACAGTTCAGGGTCCTTTCTATACACCACCCTTTCCTCCCTGGGATGGGTGATGCTCGACTGCTGCTGGTGAGGACAGGGCCCTGGAATGCAGGTGGTCTTTAGGTCTGGCTTTTA